ATCAGCCTCTGGTCTAGGTGCACAGGGGCTCTCCACCTCCCAGGCCTGAACGGCAGAAACTTTCTGGCCTTTACTGATTTTGATGACAGTGGTGAAATGTAGTCATTTGTCCCGTTGCTTCGGTAAACATGAGACCACCTGGGCCTCTCCACCTAGGGGGCTGGGGTGACCAGCCCCTTGGCTGGCGAGTGGGCCTAAGCTCGTGCCCCGGGCAAGCTTGTTGCTCTCAAGTGTCACCGTGGACTCAGAGCTGTGCGTGACAGCTGGGTGGGCTTAGAGGATTTGGGGATTCCGGGCGGACCTGGAAAGTGCGTGTCTGCCTCTTCCAGCTCTCGGCTGAGTCATGAGCTGCTCGGAGATCCTTCCCTGACCTCGCCGACCACTTCTCATCCTACATCCACCTCACCTTCTTGGCTTTTGTGACAGTTGCAACTTTACATGAAATTTGTGAAATTGCTCATTTCATGTTTGTCTCTTCCAAGGCCTGGTGAGCTCCAGGAGGGCCCATAAGTTTGGGCTGTCAATCGCCAGTGTGCTGAGCTCAGTGCCAGGCACATCAAAGATATGCAATAAATATGTTTCAGTTGAATGATTAAATAATTGAATGAGTTGATCTCTAGAGCTTTTGGAGCATCTATTGAACTTGATCCCTTGAATTAGGCCTGTGCCCCATGGGGCTGGGCTGGGGCGGGGAGCTCACTCGTTCCCTGCCATTAAGTCCTGGGCAAGGATTATTCCCTGCCATTAAGTACTGGGCTCGGGATGCAATGGCTGCAGTTCTGGGAGGAGAACGTGAGCCTCGGTGCAGAAGGTCCTGGGAGAGGCAGGGCCCCAAGCGGGGAGGTGTCTGAGCAGCTGGACACGTGTGGAGCTCTGGTCCAGGTTTTCCTTTTTTAAACATGATAATGAGACAAGTGAGTACAGCTTGTTTGAAGTTCGTAAGTTTCAAAATCTGTTTTTTATGATTATAAAATTAATGAAAGGAAAAGAAACCCAAATGGCCAATATGTATATGAAAACTTCTCTAACAATCATGGCAGTGCAGATTGAAGTGAAAATGAGATGCCATCTCTATCCATCAGCGTGGCAAAAAGTAGATGAGCCAACAGGGCCAGGATCGGGAAAGACATGGGGAAGCTCTCACACGCCACTGGGGGAGGTCAGTAGGTAACTGCTTTGAGAGCCATTTGGGGGCATTTGGGGATATTTGGTGGACCTTAAAATGGTATACCCAAGGACCTGGGCATTCTATTTCTAGATATGTTCTCTAGTCTACAGTGGTGGTTCTCAAACTGTCATTTGCATTTGAACCACACTGGGGGGTTTGTTGAAACAGATTGCTGGGCTCTGACCCCAGGGCTTCTGATTCAGTCTGGGATGGGGGCTGAGGATTTCATTTCTACCAAGTTCTCAGGGGATGCCGATGCTGCTGGTCCTGGGACCACACTTTGAGAACTGCTGTTCTAGTTAAACTCTTGCTTATGTGTGCGGGAAAACATGCCCGATGATGTTTATTTCTTATGGCAAAAATTAGAAACAAACCCAAAGTCCATGAGTTGAGGAATAGATGAATATATTATGGCATATTATCTAGTGGCTTATTATGCAGCAGTTAAGTGAATGAATGAAATATGTATATTTCATCATGAATAGCTCTAGAAAGATGTAAATTGTAATGCCCTGCAATGATACCATTTTATCAGTAAGTTTAAAAACAATTTAAAAATCCAAGTCTATGTAATCAACATATATAAGTATTAAAATGTGAACTGGACACACATTTAACCTATAAAAGCTGTTGTCTCTGGAGAGGAAGGGAAGAGACTAGAGCTGGGGAAGAATAGAGAAGCTTCTATTCAAATCTGTTGTTTTAGTCTTTAAAAAATAGTTCTAAATAAAATAGGTCTTAATTTTAGGGGGTAGATACTGGTTCTTACTGTATTAGTCTTTGTTTCTCTATATTCTTTAAGTGAATTTTTAAAAAGAGTAATATAAGCTCATTGTAGAAAATTAGAAAATGACAGAACTCAAAAGCATCCCCAAACCCCCTGTAGACATTTGGTGTTCTTTCTGGTTTCATATGCTTACAAAAACCAAATTGGGAGCACACATACTATTTATATTTTTACAACCTGCTTTTGTGGCTTAATATGATATTGTAAACATTAATAGTTTCCCATTCATTAAATTGCTTTGAGTTAATATCCTTTTAATTAGCTACATAATAATCAATCCTATGGTGGTACTTTTATTTAACCGATCCCCTATTGGTCTTTCAGAGTTCCAGTTTTCTACTGTTATAAATAACAAGGTGGTGAATATCTTAACACATTCAGCTGTGTGGAGGTCACTTCCTTCCCTGCCTGGAGGCAGCAGTGTCTTTGAGTTTTGGGTCACAAAGCAGGTGACCCTGTCTGTCCCACCAGGCCTGGGATGGGCTGGCTTGAGAGAGTGAGTGAAATAGGTCGCATGGAAGTGGTCCTGGGGGACAAGTTAAGTTCCTGGACAACTTCAGGGATGTAGCTCCCACAGTGAGCCTCCAGGACACCCCTCCCCCTCCCTCCATTCATTCAGGCCAGATAGGCTTTCAGGACCCTAGGTGACCCTGGGGCAGGGGCGTGGGGCAGTCAGAAATGATGAGGCCTGGTCTGGATGGGAGATGCAGGCACAGCCACAAACATCACAAGTTGAGGCATGAAGTGGGAGAGAACCCCAGGAAGGGCGCAGGGGTTCCGAGGAGGGGTGGTCAGCCCCACGCAGGGAAGGCAGCTGGGAAGAGTTTGGAGAGGAGGTCACATAAGAACGGGTAGGGCTTTTTTGTTGTTGTTATTGTTATTGGTTTTGCTTTGTTCTGTTTTTATTACTCACTTTATTGAGGTCTATTTTACAGATCATAAAATGCAGCCATTCTAAGTGCATAATTCAATGATTTTTAGTAACTTACTGAGTGCCACAGCCATCACCATAAATCAGTTTTCGAGCATTTCATCCCCCCAATAAGATCCCTCATACCCATTTACAGATACTCCCTGTTCCCACACCCATCCCTGGGCACCCGCTAATCTACTTTCTGTCTCTATAAATTTTCAGGCTTAGGTTACATTTTGAAGGATGGAAATTGGACCTTAAATTAAGATAATAGCAGGGAACGTAGAAATCTCTATAAATGTTCAGGCTTAGGTTACATTTTGAAAGCTGAAAACTGGACCCGAAATTAAGATAATAACAGGGAATGTACAAAACCTGAGGACACAGGTGGTTGCTTCTTCCCAGCAGAAAAGCAGCTCACAGTCTCTGACTTCTGGAGTGAATCCCAAACTCAGAAGCTTCGAGCAGTCAAGAGCTCTGCAGCCCCTGGAAGCGCGATCTCTACCCTTGGTCAGGTGAAGCATTTCTTTCCTTTTGCCTCTTTGGTGGCTGAATTCCTGTTCTTCCTGCAGTTCCTAAGCTCACTCAAGTGAATGCAGAGATGTCGGCCTTGAAAACACGTTTGGCTGTCAATTCTCTGGCCTGGCAGTCACGGACAAGCTGGGCTGAGGAGGCCCAGCAGAATCGCACCGTGAGGGCATGGAGGTCTGCCGGGGAATTGCGGAGGACAGGGTGGCAGAGTGACCTCAGTAAGGGTCTTCACTCTCTCGGTGGTGTCTGACTTGGTCCTGCCACGATGGTCTGTCCTCCTAACTTCCCACCTTAGACCCCAGTGCTTTTCACCCTGAAAAAGAGAGGTGTGAGCAGATCATCTGCAGTCTGTTTGCCTTTGTATTAATATAATCAGGTATGCTTTAAGATACCTGTACCAGATTCTTTAAAATTATGTTTAAAAAAAAAAGTTCAAAAATAGTGTAAGCTCAGTGCTAAAAAAATAGCACAATAAATAAAAATCCAAAGTCATCTCTGTGATCTCATCTGAAGATAACTACTGATGCATTTGGGGTCTATACTTCCTGTCTTTTATTTTATTTATGTTTTAACTTGAGTGCCATTTTCTTGGCTTCCATTAAATCCCCATGGCGGTGGGAGGGGTATCTTAGTTCATCGGGCCCCAGCCTGGCTCCTACTGTCCTGGGGCTCACACTCTGCTCAGACACAGGCTGCTCTGGTGCTTTGAACCAGTTGTTTAACCTTGATCTCGGTGCTTCTCTCTGACGTGAGCCAGGTGCTCAGCTCTGGGGACAGAGTCCCTCCGCCTGGAGCATGATCTGCTGTGTAAGGGAAGAGTCAACCTGAAGTGATTAACAGCTCTAAATTCTCTAAAGAGTATCTGGGCAGCAGGTTGCAACACATCTCAGGATAATTCAATTTTTATAGAAGCTATTTCCATTAATCATTTATTAATGACTCTCCCAGCTGAGGCAATTAAGTAGACTTAGGATTAAAAAAGAGTCCCATATTCATTTCACATCTGTCTAATTACCTTGAGGTTCATAGATCCTGGAAGAATGAAAAATGGGCTCCATTCTTCTTCTTTGTGCTTTGCATTTTTCTCTAGGTTTGGTCTCAGCCCAAGGGGAGGCAGCCTGGGAGGGGGGGTGGCTGGGGGGAGGGGTGTGTGTACCTGTGACTGTGACACCCAATGGTCCAGGCTCAGAGAAGAAGGGTACTGACTCTGTGACATCTGAGGAAGCTTTTGGGGTCCCGGGCAGGTGCAGGGGAGGGGCTGCCTGTGGGAGGGGAGCCCAGGGGGCCTAGCCTGTCTGCTGGGGCTGAGGGTGAGAGATGGGGAGACGGAGCATCAGCTCCCTGGGCTTGTCCCAAAGAGGGCTGGAGGGATCCGCCCCTGAGCTGGAGAGCAGGGACAGTGGGCGGAGAGATGTCACAGGGCGTCTCCTGGCGCCGGGTCCCACTTTGGGTATCCTATGTGTGTACTCCCACTTCATTCTCCAGACTCTGGGAGTTAGTATCGACAACCAATTTTGGACTTAAGGAAATGAGGGCTCAAAGAGGCGAAGTGACTTACGTGCTTAAAGTCACACAATTGATGAGTGCGGGCGGGGTCGGGGCGTGGGTGTCCCGACTCCAGCATCTTGGCACTGCCCCCATCCCGGCTGCTGCCAGGACGCACATAGCCCGCCGGGCACACTTCTGTCTTGCAGCCAAATAATGTTGCTCTGGGAACAAAACTCCCTCCTCTTCTTTTCTTTTAAAGAGATAACGCACACCCTGTTTCAGAGAACGGAGATGGTAATTAAAGAATTTCCAGAGAATCTGGTGGAGTGGCGAAGAGGAGTTCTTGCCTGATGTCCTTCCTAGGGTGGGTCCTGCTCTCCAGCGGCCCTCCCTCCACAGGACCTGGTTTCTAGGGAGGGCACGGTCAGCTCGGGTGACCTTCCTTCGTGAGCGGGCTGGGAGGCGGAGAGGGGCGAGCCCCGGTGTGAGTGTGGGGCGGGCGGCAGGGGCAGCTGGACCTAGAATGGCAGGAACCTGCTGTGAGGGGCAGATGCCAGAGCCCAGGGCAGCGGTGTTCACAGTGAGACCTGCAGGTAGAGGAGGTCACCAAGGGGTCCTGAGCACTGCAAGTTTTAAGGGATCCATGCATGGTACTCATTACTCTCTCCTAGAGCTGATCTCCCTGGGATGCGAAAAACACCTGGGTCATTAAACAAAGAGGAGTCTTCTGAGAAAATTGTTTTTGTAGTGATGGGGTTTCGTTGCTTCCCAGGCTGGCTTCGAACTGATGACCTCAAGCAACTCTTCTGCTTTGGCCTTCCAAAGTGCTGGGATTACAGGTACGAGCCCCAGCACCTAGCTGGCCAGGGGGGGACCTCTTTTAAAGACTAATCAAGCCACCAAAACCTCTGTGGGCATGAAACCTTTACAGGTCTCATACACATATCCATTAGAGGTGGAGTGTAACTTTAGCAATGGGAGTCTGGTCTCAGGTTGGGATATTCTGAGTCTAGATATATAGTGGAGTGGAGTGAGGAGAGTATTAATTTTTGTTTAAGAATTTTAACTCTTCTATCCCCCAAATATAACTCTAATGTTTCCTGGGACTGGCATGTTTTTCAAGATAGACTAAACAAGAAATAAACAAATAAAGCTTTTATGTGCTGTCTTTCATATTTGTGTACATTATTTAATAAAGTAGTTAAAAGTTATTTTATTAAATCATAGCATGAATTATTTATCCTAGAGATAGTTAATTTTCATCTTATTCCATTTTGTAAATGTTTCACATTTTTCATCTCCATTTAAAATGTGTTAAGTGTGGGCCAGTTTTCTTTAGTGGAATTTATCTTTCTCTTTCATTAAATATATAGAAAAATTTGATCATAATGTTCAGTGAAATTAATGAAATTATTTCTGATTCTAATTTAATTAACTCCCAAAACCAAACACCAGAGTTCAAAGAAGTATGCTTTTTATCATACTTATTTCCTAAAAAACTTATAATTGTGGCTTCAAATTATATCATTATTATATACTTTATAAATTAAGTAATTAGTAATCATATATTGAGTTGTTATTTTGTTTTTATAACTTATAAAATAAATTAAATAATTATATTGAACCAAAATCATGTAAATCCTGACCTATTTTTAGAATACCATCTAATGAGATTTATTCCAAAATTTATTTTCTAGTAAATTTTATAGTCTTCCTTGAAATGCCCATTAGCACAATTCTGAAGTCAAACGTTTTCTGACATAAAACCTGATTTGATTGATAGATTAATAGTAAGGACTAGTTTGGTAATTAAGTTATGTTACATATTTTTCATAAATTGAATGAATTAAGTTTGCAGTTTCTATATTTTATGAAAATATATTTATAGCAAGTGCTAATATAAAAGCATTTTATTAAAAATGGTGTATTATCAATGGTTTAATTAAATTAATAGATTTAGATTCCCTAATTTTGTCTGAAAATAATGGGTTAAATCAAGTGCCTTTAAAAGAAAGAGTAAGGGATCAGATTAAGAGTCATTTCATAAGTCTTAATAGAATTTTTTGCTGTTTTTTCCAGAAAATGACAAGGAGAATAACTCTAGAGACTGGGTTAAAATTCTTTTGCAAGCCAAATGATTTCTAGCTTTTGGTGTCCATCAAAATTAAATAGTAGCTTACTACATGATTTTCAGGCATATAACTCAGTAGTTTGTAGAATTAAATGACATTGCTAGAACAAAACTCCTTCCATTCCCACCTACTGATATGACTAGAGTTTTTCAGTGCTAACAACTAAAAAACCCATAAAAATAGGTATAGAATTAACATGAACCCTGACTTATTAGAGCAATAAATAAGTTATAGTCATCAACTATACATGACCTAGTTGGGGAAAAAAAGCCAGCTTCATTTATCTCATTAAGAAAATGCATTTGTAATAAAAATTTGTTTTTAAATTTTTATAATTATTAAATTTTGTATCTTCATGTTTTTGGTCAATTACACACTATTAATAATTTTAATGATAACTCATTCCAGAATAAAATAGTTTAAAACTTTATGGCCATAAAAATGAAAATTTCAAATAATTTAAATGTATATTCATGTTTTTATTACAGTGGAGTATGCCAGCTGATGCATAAAATATATTCAAGCATAAAATTGCATTGTATTAGGATAAGATTCTGTGTGAGAAGTGGAATGAAAATATGAGCTCACAGAGAAAAAGCAAAGATAGAAATGTTTGAATGTTGAAGAGCTTGTTTCTAGATGTATGTGTTTTAAAAATAGATGATAGCATGCAGAGTATCAAATTCATAGAGACAGAAAGTAGAATGGTTGTTGCCAACAGCTGGGGGAGGGGGGAATAGGAAGTTATTTAAGTGGGTACAGAGTTTTCGTTTTGCAAGATGAAAACGTTCTGGAAATGGATGATGAGGTTGCACAACAATGTGGATATACTTAATGCATCTGAACTGCACACTTAAAAATGCTTACTATGGTAAATTTCATGTTATGTGTATTTCACTATAATTAAAAAAAATAGATGGTAGCAGGATTAAAGTGTTAGAATATTTAGATTTCATTAGATACATTCCAAAGAGTGACATAACAGTTTTGTTTTAAAATGTCAATATTTTCAATGCGCCAGAAATCACATACTTTGCAACTACAGTATTTAACTTACGGTGACAAATTTTAGATGTCAACTTAAAATGTGTGAGAGGGTCCATAGGTTTTGAAATTGTTTTAGTGGGTTCTCCAGCAAAAGCATGGGAAGGCTTTTGCTCTAAGAAGTTCTGGGGTTCCCCTGAAGTATTTCTGCAGTTTTGCCAAACTGAAGTGTTTTCCACTAAAAGTGAAGATCTAAATTGCCTGTGGGAGCATCACCACTCTTAACTGATTTTATATGTTGAAGCTTTTGGTAACATTTAATTTAAAGGGCAAGGAGGAACAGAGGGAGACAGAGAGAAAGGGAGAGAGGAGAAGAGGAGAAGGAGGGGGAGAGGGTGGGGGAGGAAAAGAAACAGTATCTGTTTTAAAAATAAAAAGGGCTTTAAAATCATTGTTCTAGAGTAGGCTTCTGGACAGGGAATAATAACAAGACCAAGCATGTTTGACCTTGTCCAATATATAAACACGGTAAACTTACATCTCCCTTCTCTTCTCTGGCTAAATATGCCATTTCCATCACCTCTGTGAGCCGGTCTGCAGACTCCTCTGTGCTGGCTACTTCCTTTTACATTCTTCCCAGTCTGTTGGTGCTCACTTTCCAGGGCTAGGGGAGGAAAGGAGTTAATTGTGGTCACAGTGGTTAGAACCATGAGTCCTACTGCAAGACCAGCTGCACTCCTTCCAGTGTTAGGCACGATGCACATTCCAGGGCAGCTGTAGCCAACCTGCAGGTTGGGTTCTAAGCTCAGCACATTAGGTCAGAATCCTGTATAGTACACATTCCCCTTGAAAATCTCACAGGAAGGCGTAACACTGGAGCCAGGCACACTATCTCTCTGTAAGTCTGCTCCAGCCAGCTTTTCTCTAGCACTGGAACTGTTAGTTCTTTGAGCATTGGAGGAAGTAGTTGACATGTATTTGGGAATCATGCACCATGAAAAACACGTCTCTTTAGTAAGATCATACCCTTTCAGCCAAATACTCATTCTTTGACAGGCATGTGGAAAGTGAGGCGGAGGAGGGAATAACAGATTTGTCTCATGCTCACTTCAAGGGGTGGAGGCCATGCCTTGGGATCAATGATACTATTTAAATAACCTCTCTCTCTCTCTCGTTCCCATCCTCCAGTAAATTTGAGTCCATAGGTGACATATGTGTCTGATGCAGCTACACTCGTTCTGGAATCCTGACAACTGGACAGCCACTGCAAGAGACACTGAGTGTTTTCTTGGTCTACACAAAATCCCTCTCTTCCTCCGTGAGTGCTCCTTCTCCTCCTCCACCCATGTGTGGAGATTACAGATGGCGGCAGATTCTTTGCTGCTCCCTCCCACCCAGGGTGGAGTGTGTTTCCTTACTCCTTAAACCTGGACTTGCCCAGTGACTTGCCTTGGGCATTCTGCAACAGAATGTGGCAGAAGTGATGCTATGTGGGCTCCAAATCTAGACCTCAAGAAGCCTTGTGGTGGCTTGCTCTTGCTCCCTTGGGATTCGGCTGCCCAGCGAATGCGCCTGCTAGAGAAGCCAGGTACCCTGGCTGATAGCCTGTTCAGGGCTGAACACGTGTGTGAGGCCATCCTGGACCATGTAGGCCCGGCAGGCTGTCAGCTAACTGGAACTGCATAAATGAGCCCAGACACAACCAGCTGCTGGTGCCAGCCCAGATTGTTGACTTGCAGAACTGTGAGCCAATAAATGTCATTTTAAGCCACTAAGTTGGGATGGTTTGTTAGCTGTTGCAGAGATGGCTGTTTAGGAAAATGTGCACTCCCCTTGTTTATTATGGCTTGTCATTGCGAGGTGGCTGCTCAGCCGGGGCTACATCTCCCAACTGCCCCTGTGTCAGATATGGCCACCATATAACTGGCTCTCACCACTGATGTGAGCGGAAGTGGTACATGATGCCTCCAGGCTGAGGCTTCAGGCGTTGATGGGGTCCTCCTCTCTCTCGTTCCCCTTCTGTTGCCTGGAAACAGAAGACTTCTAGGTTCTAGGGGATGGTGAGACCACAGGATATGATAAGCCTGAGTTCCTGGTCGCCATGTGGCAAATTGCCTCTGGTCTGTTATGGGAGTGGGGAACTTACATTAAGACTGAAAGTCTGGGGTGTTTATTAGAGCAGGTAACTGTGCTCACAGTTACAAATGTCTGTGTCAGGCACTGTGCCACGCACTTCACATTTATGAACCCACGTCACCCTCCCAGCAGCCCCACACAGAAGGTGCTTCATCCTCACTCTGACACAGGAGGACACTGGAACTCCAAGGGACTAAGTAACTTTCCCAAGGGCATGCCTAGAATAAAGTGGGGCTGGGATTTGATCTGGAAAACCTGAGAGCTAGGGTCCTGGTCCTGCCCTGTCACCGACCCACTGTGCGCTCCCGCCCCCTCTGGCTCCAGTTGGCTCATCTGCACGGCGGGTTGGGAGAAGGAGGGTAAAGTCCACGAACTTCCCTCTACAGCTCTAACATCCGGGGTTTCTGTGGTTCTCAGGTTTCAGGTTGAGACACAAAGGAGAATTGAGTCATGAAGGGAATTCACAGCAGGGCAGGAATGAAAGTCTCTGCTGCTCAAGTCCTTGGAGGTCCATCTTGGTCTCCAGATTCTTTGATGTGGTCAGCAGGACAACCGGGGAAGCTGGGCTGACTTGGCAAATCCTGGGGCCTGCAGTGCCTGTGGCTTTGGAGACAGGAGTTAAGGCGTGTGATACCTGCCTGCTGGTGTCTCTCCAGGGAACACAAGGCCTGGCATGCCCCCTCCTCAGTACTTCTGGAAAGTTTGTACTCAGTAAATGGCACAGTCCTGCTGTTGCCTGGGGAGGCCCTGACTGAGGGCTCCAGCATGAAGCGTGCCTTCGGTGAGGGAGTTGGAGACAGCAGCCCTGGAAAGCAAGCTGGGCAGAGAATTACAGTGCCCTTTCCCCTGCCTGTCACAAAGGGAAGCAAAAGCCCGAAGAGGCTGAACCACGTACTCCAGATTGCCCAGCTAGTGGAGGGCCTAGAACCAGCTTTGGCTGCTGGTCCAGGGCTCTCGGCCTGCCCCACGCTGCCTGCTGGGCTTGGGCTGGGGCTAACAAACAGATGCCTTTTGGCTGTGTTTTGTTTCAAGTTTCTGATGCAGAGAGGAATTTTGAAAATATAGCTGGGAGAAGCTCCTACTCTCAGGAAATCCCATAGGAATGACCTTGGCCATAGAGGATGGCTAGTCATGCGGGCCTGCAGACCCCAGGGCCTTCGGCACCCTGCTTCTCCCAGAAGAGCCTGCAGGAAACCCTGTCAGACTGATGCCAGAGAGTGACAGCAGTAAGACTTCGGCCTTCTGTGTGGCTTAAGCTCAGACACCTGATGTTTTGGGGAGGAAGCCTGGATTCTGCTACTGGTGTGGTGAGTCACCAGCTCTGTGATTCAGTGAGAAGCCTTAATTTCCTTATGGGGTGGGGGGCTGGACTAAATAGTCTGTAAGGTCCCTGTGACCCTATTCCTGCAGAAATGGAAAGGGTGTTCTGGTATATATATATATATGTGTGTGTGTGTGTGTATCTCATTCTCTATATGTCTATATCTATATCTCTATATGTCTCTATCTATATTCATGTTAACATGGTCCAATGATACCTACTGTCTATACATTTCCTCGCTCAAATGTGTGGGGAAATTGTACAGGACAGGGTGATGCTCAGGATGGAGGTGACTGTATTCTTGACCCTTTGCTACTTGGTGCCATCTTGGATTTTGCTTCTTTGACTTGATCCTGGTTCAGCCACGGCTGACTGGGCATCGAGGCCCGTGTCTGGATGCACTAATAGACAGGATGCTTACGGAACAGCTGGCACGTGGTGGAGCCTTGTTGTGAGGTTGCTATACTGGTGAGGAGTCTGACTGGACCAGCTCTGACTCACCTTGGTTCTAAATGATCAGGCCTGAGGAGCATTGCCTCAGCCATATTAGTCAGGACTCTCTCGGTTGAATGTGACGGAAACCCAACTCACACTCGTTTAAACACAAAGGGGAATTTTTTTTTTGGCTCCAGACATTGGGAAAGATGGGTGGAGCAGACATGAGGCATGACTGAACTGAGGTTTCAATGATGTTGTCAGTTGAGATTTGACAACAAATCTCACTCCCATGCTTAATCGTTTTTCTCTCTGTGTGTTGTCTTGTTTGCTACTACACATAAGATTACCTGGGGTGGGGGCAGGGGGTGGGGGAAGGGGAGCCCCTGCTGCAGACAACCCGGTTTAAGTCACCCCAGTTGGTGACCCTAGAAGAAAAAGACCTCGGTGCGTGTAAGTCCTAAGGGAAGGCTCTGTGAGCTGCCCTGGACCACGTGCCCATCTCTGGGCCACGTCATACCAGGCCAGGTTAGGGCAGGGGGACCGCCTCTGGAGGTTAGATAGAGTCCTACAGAATGGGTCATGGGGGAGGAGTGGTTTTGTAAATGAGGGGGTACTGCTATCACAGAGGGGGTCAGAGGGACACCGTGGGAGCCATCAAAACAGGTCTTCACTAAAGACATTGCATCAGCCACCAGTAATGAGCAGAGAGACTTTGATCTAAAGGACTGTTAGGTATAAGGTGGTGAACTAGGTGGCAGAAAGGGTAAGCAGAAGCAGCAGTTGCAGAAAGCAGCCACCATTCCATGGCTGAGGAAGCAAAGGGGACAATTTAGAAATGCAGAGGAAGGGCCTGCGGAGCTGAAACTTGAGGAGGGGCTCTGCTCTCTGGTGCTGGGCTGCTGGGCTCAGATGGCCCCTGAGCTCAGACGGGGCCCCTATGCCGGACCGGACCTCTGAACAGGGGTACCAGCCAGCTGCTGAGAGCACCTCCTGGAGACCAGGGGGAACGAACTGGTTCTGCAAAGCTGCAAATTGGTTCATCTGTGGCTACAGTTTGGGTGAAGAATAGTTGCTGGATGCCACTCTCAGAAACAGGAAGCCTGCAGGAAGCAGGCAGGGAACAAACAGGAAAAGCAAGTCCGGTCCCCTGCCGCCAGCCTTGCTGCGTCCCTCTAGCACGCGGGCTGCAGAGCCCTAGTGGAACTGGACGCAGAGTCCCAGCCCCCGCATCGCCAAGTGGCAGACAGAGGAGCAGCTTTGGAGCACAGAAGTAAAGACCTAATGACTGACCCAGGTGTCCCCCTGCAGGTGTCTGGTTGGAGTGGCCTCTGTGGGACAGCCTGTCTCCCGCAGGGGGCTTTGAACTCCGTGAGGTCAGGGGCATGCCTGACTTACCTGTGCGTGCTCTCAGGGCCTGGTGTCCTTCCCCAGGCAAGGCAGGCCCTAGTGAGTGGGTGTCATGCTGAAATGAGTTGTGTGGCAGGACCTCCCATTGGGCAGTGTGTCCTGGGCAACTCTGCAGCCCTCCCTACCCAGCCATTAGAGTCCTGTCTGTCTTCCCTTCGGGTGTAATTCCACACTCTCCCTGGAGTCCAGAGTGGGACCAAGGGGTGGGGACGTTGAACACTGGACCTTGGGGCAACCTGGGACAGGCTCTGCCCAGATCTGGTGAGTGTGCCCCAAGCTCTCTTCTCATCCTCAGCCACTTTCTGATAGAGTCAGCAGTAGGTTCCTAGCTCCGCCTTTTATAAGCTATGCAGCTTTGGGCAGGTGACTGGATTCAGTTTCCCAGAATGCCCTCTTCAGTCCCTTAATCCATGCACCAGGAGACAGGAAGAGACTCTTGGTCCTCTTTATCCCACTCAATCCTCTCCCCATCCTCTGCTCCTTATAGGAGTGATATTTTAGCATAATGCATCATAATTATGCTTTAAAAGGCAGGTGGTATTAGCAAGGAAGAGATCTGTTTAGCATGGGGAAAAAGTAAAGATCCAGGACAATTGGCACTTGCTGGGCAGAGCTCAGGACAGCTGCAAAATGAACAGGGCCCATGGTGTGGAGAGGGGGAGCAAAGGAGGAGAGCAGGTGATGGGGGCGGGAGCTCTGCACCATGGGCTCCACGCCCTGGTTCCGGTGAATTCCAGGGCAGCATTTGAGCAGGAGTCCTCAGGCGAAGGCGGAGCCACCCAGCCTCCAGCTGCTTCAGGGCAGGACGGCAGGGGGACAAGCCCAGTGGGGGCAAGGGACCTGCAAACATTTATGTGCTACATGGAAAAAGGGATTAGGCCAGTGCTCAGCACAGAGCAAAGGCTCCAACAATAAATGATCGCTTTCACTCTGCATGGCCGTGTTAGTCCGCCCTGTACTGTAGGTTTGTGTGCAGGTTTTCCTGCCTCACTTATCTCAAGTTCTTTCAAGACAGAGGCTGGGGCTGAGTTTTCTCCAGCGGTGCTCAGAGAATGTGTGGCGTGTATCTGGGGACCACAGTCAAAGCTGGGTGAGAGTTGGGAGGCCTGCTGGCAGTGCAGCTGAGGCCACTGTGGAGCCACGAGGTCTATGAGCTAGGCAGCAGTGTGAGCTGTGGCAGAGGTGACATTTCCTGGTGAGGGGCACCAGCAGGCAGGCAGAGGAGATCAAAGCACAGGGCCCTCTTTTTCAGAGAAGGGATCAGCGAAGAGCCCAGTGTCCCAAAGAGAGGCTAATTGGGTCCCGAAGACTGATGGGTATTCCTGGGCCCACATGGCATCCTCCCACCCTCTGAGCACCTGCTTCCTCAAGAATTTAATTTTCCTTTGTTGAATACAGCTCTCAGGTGAGGAGTGGTTTGGGCTGTTTGAGCTGTTTTGTTTCCCTCCCTTTCTTCCTTCCTTCCTTTTTCGTAATGAGCCACTCTTATGGGAAGATGTCAGTGCTGGGTGACTTTTAGGACTGGCTGGTGGCATGACATTTCCCTGAGCAGGCCCTCACCACAGGGAGCACTGTCTCCCTCTGTCTGCCCAGCTGACCAGCCATCTGCTCTGCTTGGTCCCTGTGGGAGGTTTGCCCGGGCTGCCTTTTGTTGGAGTCGGTGGGGTAAGGCTGGCAGGTGAAGAGGTGTCTGAGCCCAG